CAGCATCAGCTGCAGCATCATCAGCAGCAGCATCAGCATCATCGTCATCATCATCATCATCATCAATCATCATCATCGTCATCAGCAGCATCATCATCAGCAGCATCATCATAATCAGCATCATCATCATCAGCATCAGCATCAGCATCAGCATCAGCATCATCGTCAGCATCATCATGAGCAGCATCATCAGCAGCATCATCAGCATCATCAGCATCATCATCAGCATCATCAGCAGCAGCATCAGCATCATCATCATCATCAGCAGCATCATCATCATCATCATCGTCAACAGCATCAGCATCATCATCATCAGCATCATCATCAGCATCATCATCAGCATAATCATCATCAGCATCATCAGCAGCAGCATCAGAATCATCATCATCATCATCATCATCAGCAGCATCATCATCATCATCATGATCATCTTCAGCATCATCATCATCAGCATCATCAGCATCATCACCATCAGCATCATCATCATCATCAGCATCATCAGCATCATCATCAGCATCAGCATCATCAGCATCAGCATCAGCATCAGCATCATCATAAGCAGCATCATCATCAGCTCCATCATCATCATCAGCATCATCATCATCATCAGCAGCATCATCATCATTACCATCGTCAGCATCATCATCATCAGCATCATCAGCATCAGCATCATCATCATCATCAGCAGCATCATCATCGTCATCAGCAGAATCATCATCATCAGCATCATCATCAGCATCAGCATCAGCATCAGCATCATCATCATCAGCATCATCATCATCAGCATCATCATCATCAGCATCATCATCATCAGCATCATCATCAGCATCATCAGCAGCAGCAGCATCAGCATCATCATCATCAGCAGCATCATTATCATCATCGTCATCATCATCAGCATCATCATCATCAGCAGCATCATCATCATTACCATCATCAGCATCATCATCAGCATCATCAGCATCAGCATCAGCATCATCATCATCATCATCATCAGCAGCATCATCATCGTCATCAGCAGAATCATCATCATCAGCATCATCATCAGCATCAGCATCAGCATCAGCATCATCAGCAGCAGCATCATCATCATCAGCATCATCATCGTCATCATCATCATCATCATCAACATCATCATCATCATGATCATCATCATCATCATCATCAGCAGCAGCAGCAGCAGCAGCATCATCATCATCATCATCATCAGCAGCAGCAGCAGCATCATCATCATCATCATCATCATCAGCATCATCATCATCATCAGCATCATCATCATCATTATCATCATCATCAGCATCATCATCGTCATCATCAGCAGCATCATCATCGTCATCATCATCATCAGCATCATCATTAGCATCATCATCATCAGCATCATCATCATCAGCAGCAGCAGCATCAGCAGCATCATCAGCATCATCATCATCATCATCATCATCATCATCATCATCATCATCATCATCATCAGCATCATTATCAGCATCATCATCATCAGCATCATCATCACCTCCCTCCCCCCCTCTCCGTACCGGTTTTGGCTCGAGCCGCCGCCGCGCGTCGCTCAGCGGGAGCGGGCGCGAGGCCCTGGGGACCGATGGGCCAGTGCCCCTTGCCTTGAGCACCAGCCGAGATTTGCGGCTGCTGGGCGCCTGGACTCATGCTTGTTGATCTTGTCGCTTCGGCCGAGGAGACTCTCGCAGATGACTGCGATGGCACCGAGGAGGCCGCTTCCCGGGGAACTGCGAGGAACCAGAGTGCAACGGTGGCACGGATATCGAGATCGTGGTGGGGTGCAGCGTTGCCGCACCTAAAGGCCGCCTTCCCGCGAAGCGGTCTGAGGACGTCGGCGAGGCGAGCGAGCTGGTCTTCGAGGAGTTGGCCAGCACCCCTCCGCGCCCTGCCCTGCGGGCCGCCATGGATGGCGAGCGTGTGACCCGTAACAGGCTGGAGTGAAGGGGCCCAAGGACACACGACTAAATACACACAAATAAAAATATCCCCAAAATTTTCCCATATCTTCTGGGTTTCTGTCTTCCCGCCCACTTTCCATATTTTTTCATATTTTCTGGAGAATCGAGGATTAATTGTTTATGTGTGTTTCTTGTCTTCCTGATGGAGGTCACGCAGGAGGCCGGCATCGGCTGCGAAAAGACGATCGCCAACGGGCTCCTCGGTGCCTCCAGCTATACGGGCTCGGGGCCGACGAGTGCAAGGGCAGGGGCATACGTCCGTGGTGCTGGTCGTGGTCGGGAAGCGTCGCCTGTTCGAGCAGCTCGGGGGGCGGCCCGGGGACCTTCTGACCCAGGTCGGTCCAGGACCCGGGCCAACGAGGCCTGGCAAGATCCCGCAGGATCCTGCACCCAAACCCGGGTCAGTGCGACCTTGGCCCCGCAGGATCCTGCAAGATGCGGCGCTCTGGCCGACCCCCGTTTGCCTTGACCCCCGCCTCTCGAGTCCCGACTCTGGGGGTGGCTCGCGGCGCTGGCCGTCCAGCTGAAGAGGGTCGGGCAGGAGCAGCGGCGCCTGCGGATGCTCGAGGGTCGGGTCGCGCGGAGGGCCGCCACGGAGGCGGCCTGGCGGACGATCGAGTTCGAGTCAAGCGTGCAGATGGGCACCGTGCACGTCGTGAATCGGCCCTCGACGAACATGGTTGTCGTGCTAATTTGAGCACCGAGAGGGAGTTCGTGAAGCTACCTCCGAAGCTGGCCAGCATGGGGATGGCGTGCTCAGCGAGTTGCGAGCGCGTCGCGCAGTGCTGGTCTCGGAGCCATGCGAGCGCAAGCTGCTCGTCAAAGTCTGGACCGAGCTCGTTCTCCTGACGGGCGTGGCGAAGCGCCGACCTCGCATGGCGGCTCCAAGTTGGCGTTCGTGTTACCAAGTACGTGCCCGCTCTTTTTCGGGCCCGTTTGGGTGTACTCAATCGCCTCGTGGACCTGCCCTTTACCTGCAAAGCAATCCCAGCTTGCGGATGCTGGTGTTTCCAGCTGCCTCTAGCACAACAACAAACTCCCTCCCTCCCTCCCTCCCTCCTCCTCCTCCTCCTCCCTCCTCCTCCCTCTCCTCCTCCTCCTCCTCCTCCTCCTCCTCCTCTCCTCTCCTCCTCCTCCTCCTCCTCCTCCTCCTCCTCCTCCTCCTCCTCCTCCTCCTCCTCCTCACTCCTCCTCTCCTCCTCCTCCTCCTCCTCCTCCTCCTCCTCCTCCTCCTCCTCCTCCTCCTCCTCCTCCTCCTCCTCCTCCTCCTACCTCCTCCTCCTCCTCCTCTCCTCCTCCTCCTCCTCCTCCTACTCCTTCTCATTCTCATCATTCTCGCTATCCTCCTCCGACTCAGCATTACCATCACCATCAATCACCATCACCACAACCATCACCAGCTGCAATCACCATCACCATCACCAGCATCATCATCATCATCATCATCATCATCATCATCATCATCATCATCATCATCATCATCATCATCATCATCATCATCATCATCATCATCATCATCATCATCATCATCATCATCATCATCATCATCATCATCATCATCATCATCATCATCATCATCATCATCATCATCATCATCATCATCATCATCATAATCACAATAATAATCATCATCATCATCATCAGCATCAGCATGAGCATCAGCGTCAGCATCAGCATCAACATCAGCATCATCATCAGCATCAGCATCATCATCATCGTCACCATCATCATAATCATCATCATAATCATCATCATCATCAGCGTCATCATCAGCATCATCATCAGCGTCATCATCAGCATCATCACCATCAGGCGGGCAGGCAGGTGATGATGATGATGATGTTGATGATGTCACGAAATGCAAGATATCTCAGCAGCGCTGGAGAAATCATCATCATCATCATCACCACCATCACCATCACCATCACCATCACCATCATCATCATCATCATCAGCATCATCATCATCATCATCATCATCATCATCATCATCGTCATCATAACGGTAGCATGCCTTCGCCGTGAATTACTGCGTAAGCGGCATGGCGGGGCCGAAGGTTCATCGATTTCGATGGTGACTGCTGGCGATGTAACCTTGCTGATTTGCCACGTGCTAGAGGCCTCACAAATGGGGTCCGAGCAGATGGGGTCAGAGGATCATGCCGCATCGCCGAAATATCGCCGACGCACAAGCGATGCATAGGCGATGCATGGGCGACGTCAGGGATGCATCGGCGACGCCGGCGTAGAACCCATCGGGCTCCACATCGAGCCGCACCGCCGATGCGTCTGCGATGTGGCGCAATCCTCCGAGCCCATCTGATCTCGGACCCCATCTGTCGGAAGCTGGGCGAGGGCTGGCAAATCCGTGGCTGCTAAAACGGCCTTCCCGGAAGATAAAGACAAATTCCCGGAATAGAAAGCTCAGCGCACTAGATAGCTGCTTCCCGGAAGAACAAAGCGATTTCCCGGAGCTCCGTTTTAACAGCCACGGGCTTGCCAGCCTTCGCCCGGCTTCTGAAATTTGATCTCGGACCCCATCTGGGAGGCCCAGATTCGGCGGTGGACAAACCTCCCTTTAGTAAACCACCCTTTAGTGAAAGCGGCCTGGGACCGAAACCGACGGACCTGGGCCCGCAAAAGTGACGGCCGCGACGCCCTCTCGCGAACCGCAAACGGCCCATTCACGAATCGACGTGTCAGGGTAGGAGGCCTGTCCACCTCCGGCAGATCAAGGCACCCGCCCAGGTAGGGGGCCACGTGTGAACCCTACCCCTGCCCCCCACGATTTCTGAGGGGGAGGGTGGGGTTCACTTCGTGCGGGAGCGAGCGAAGTGAACCCCACCCTCGCCCTCAGGAATCGTTGGGGTTCAGGGGCAGGGTTCGCAGGTGGCCCCCCTACCAGGGGGTCAGCGCCAGACCCCTCCGCGGGCCCCTCGGCGCCTCGGGGCGGCGGCGGCCGCGGCTGCTGCGGCGGCGCGGCCGCGGCGGCCGCGGCCGCGGCGGCACGCGCTGCGCCGGCAGCGGCGGGCTGCTGGGCGGCTCGGGGTGCCGTGAGCTGCTCGGCCTGCTGCGGGGGCTGCTGCGGCCGAGGCTGCTGCAGCGGCGGCGGCGGCCGCTGCGGGGGCTGCGGGGGCCGCGGGGGGCGGGGCTGCTGCAGCTCTCCCTGCCGCTGCTGCACCTCTCGAGGCCCAGGCAGGCTGCTTCCCAGGACCAGCACCTCCCGCCCTTCCTCTCCCCCGGAACTGGGAGGCGAAGGAGGGAGGAGGGGAAAGGGTGCATGGCGATGGGGGCAGGGCAACGAAGGAGGAGAGAGGGGCTGCAGTAGAATGGTGACAGTGGAGCTGCGCTTGGGGAAGGACTGGTCCTCGCCCCATCACGCGACAGACACTGGACGTCGAAGGTAGACCTTGACGCAGAGAAACAAAGACAGGGAGAGAAATGAGGCCCATGCCAAGAGACACCCTGCTTGCCTCCAGCGTGCCCTGGGCTTCTGGGGCCTCGATGGTCCTGCCGCGGAAGGCGTGACGCTCCCGCACCGAAACATCCACGGACGCCCTGGGGTCTCAGGGTTGGGCTTCTCGCGGAAGGTTTTTGTCGGTGGTCGGGCCCCTGGGGTCTCAGGGTCGGGTTTCTCGCGGAAGGCTTCTGTCGGTGGTCGGGCCCCTGGGGTCTCAGGGTCGGGTTTCTCGTGAAGGTTTTTGTCGGTGGTCGGGCCCCTGGGGTCTCAGGGTCGGGTTTCTCGCGGAAGGCTTTCGTCGGTGGTCGGGCCCCTGCCGCGGGCGAGGCGCTGCACCAACGAGCGCGGTCCGCGCGGCCGCCCGCGGAAGCAGCTCCGAGGGGCCCGTGGAGGCAGCGGCGGCTCTCCGCTCTCCCACGCCGCCGGCCCCAGGCCCCTGCGCGGGGCCCACCCTGGCCACGAGTCTCCCGAGGCGGGTGCAGCCGTGGCGAGGAGCCTCCGGGAGGACCAAGCTAGACAGCACCAAAAAACACATCAAAGAGGGCCGCCGTTGTCTCCTCCTCCTCCTCCTCCTCCTCCTCCTCCTCCTCCTCCTCCTCCTCCTCCTCGTCCTCCTCCTCCTCCTCCTCGCTGCTCCTCGCTCCTCCTCGCTGCTCCTCGCTGCTCCTCTCCACGTTCGCCCTCTCCTTCCTTCGGCATGCTGTCGATCACTCCGAGCCCGCAGCGTCAGCATGCAAGCCACGCGACAGAAGTTGCGACGGCGTGCGCAAAGGCCAGCAAAACGACCCGCTTCGACGAGGCCAGGGAGTCAACGAGAACGGCGAAGGGTCGATAGATCCAGACAGGACGACAACAACTCTCACATTCGCTTCCAGGCGGCCAGGGGGGGTGAACTGGTTGGGACACAGGAGGGGGCAATGAAACCAAATTTGCTTAAAATCGATCCCAGACCCCTCCCAGGACCCATCCATCTGGTGCAATTCTCCACCCCCAAATACGTTTTTCACGGTCCTGGGGCCCGAAAACGGCCCCCCGAGGCAAAAAAAAAAAAAAAAAAAAAAAAAAAATCCCCGAACCCAGAACCACGATCCTGCCCGCCCTTCCTGCTGGCCGGAACCAGCGCTGGGCCACCTCGGACCCCCAGACGGCGTGCACTGAGAAGCCCTCCGGGAGAGCTCGACGAGCGAGGAGAACAGAAGCGGTGCTCCCTGGGTCTCTGCTGGATGTTGAAGTTCTCGATCGCTGGGGCTTCCGACCGCCCAAGACGGCCAAAGAGACATCCAAGATTGACTACCTACCAGACCACCACAACCTAACCCGAAGACCCGAATTTTGCCAGAATTTCGGGTTGGGGGGGGACGGGTTCAGCATGTGTTTTTCCAGTGTTCCCTGCCCCCCCCCCCCAACTGGAAGTGGAGAGCAAATCGGGGCCTTCGGGTTGGGCTGGGGGGTCTGGTGGGCGGTGGAAGATAGCTTCAAGACAGCACTCCCCGCCCTTCAAGATAGCTTCAAGACATCCCTCCCCAAGATAGCGGTTGGGCGGTGGGTGGCCTCCTCCCCGTCCTCCCCCGGGGAACGCATCAGGGGAGGCGCTGCGCCCGCGGAGCCTGCGCCGGCGGTGCCGCGGCCGGGGGCGCCGGGCCGCCTGCCAGCCTCTGCAGGGCCGCCGAGTAGGCGGAGCAGAAGCCGACAGGCTCCTGCATGGGGGGGGCTCCTCCTCGCTCCTCCTCGCTCCTCCTCGCTCCTCCTCCTCGCTCCTCCTCGCTCCTCCTCGCTCCTCCTCGCTCCTCCTCCTCGCCCGTCCTCGCTCCTCCTCGCTCGCTCCTCCTCGCTCCTCCTCGCTCGCCCGCCGCAGAGGCAGCGCGCTCAGGAGGGCAGGCATCCAAAAGGGTTCCACGAACTCACCGATGGCTTGGAAGCCACCGATCCCGCCGGCCCAGCTGGTGCGAGACTTGGCCGAAAGGAGCTCTGCTGCTTCAGTCGAGGCAGCAGCGCCCGTCCGTCAGCACGCATCCTGAACCGTTTCTGTCAGGTGGAAGTTGTTTTATTCGGCGTTTCGACATTGGGGGGAGGGGGGGTGGGGGATGGTGGGGGGGGGTCTGGCTCTGGACCTCTGCTTAGCGCGACTGCTTGGCACCGTGCGTCCTGTGGGGGAGACTCCACCTGCTCGAAACAGGCGCCAAAAACAGCCAAGATCTACTCCACGGGGGGGGGGAGGGGAGGGGCGCGAGGGCCCGCGCCGATCGGCAGAAGAGTGAACAAGAAAACGCTCACCAGGCGACGGGCCCTGCCCCAGTTGGGGGGCGGGGAGCCGAGAGGAGGCTTGGCTGGCGCAGACCGCCGAGGCGGCTGACGCTCCTCCTCCTCCTCCTCCTCCTCCTCCTCCTCCTCCTCCTCCTCCTCCTCCTCCTCCTCCTCCTCCTCCTCCTCCTCCTCCTGTTCGCTGGTCCCCCTGGGCCAGGCTCCGCGTGGCGGCCCGGCGGCCCACGTGAGGTTCGTCCTTGCGTTGCGCGCGTGTGCACGTACATTGGAGTCGGGCGTGTCCCCCCAAAGGGGGATTTTCCACGAAAAATTACAAATACTCAAAACATACCCCAAAATTGTCAAAAAAATACTCCAAAAAAAGTCCCCTGACAATTTTGCTACCATTCTTGAAGATTCCTCCGGTACAGGGACGGGCCCGACTTCAACGTACGTTCGTGCGTTGTGCTGTGCGTGTCGCGCGCGTGCCAGGCACCCTGCTGCCGCACCCTCCAGGACTGCGCTGCTCGGGGTGGGCGAGTTGCTTCCTTCAAAGGCCCCGTGGGCGGCGGCTCCAGCGGTCCGCTGCAGTCAAAGACCAGAGGCCCGGATTCCAAGGTTTCGCGCCGGGGTCGGGTCGGATAGCCCTTAGCCTTCATCATCAACCCCGTGGTACTCCCATCTCCCTCCTCCCTCCTCCCTCCCTGCTTCCTCCTTCCTTCCCTCCTTCCCTCCTTCCCTCCTTTCATCCTTTGATCCTTTCCTCCTGTCCTCCTTTCCTCTTTCCTCCTTTCCTCCTGTCCTCCTTTCCTCCTTTCCTCCTTTCCTCCTTTCCTCCTTTCCTCCTCCTCCTCCTCCTCCTCCTCCTCGTCTTCCTCCTCTTCCTCCTCCTTCGTTCCTGTTCGTTATAAATAGCTCGTCCCTGTCGCACCCCGAGGCCGGTCGAATGGGCGGGCCTGGCGTTTCGCCTGCGACTAATGAATGACCCTGTTGCTTAAACGTCGACAGCAATTTTACAGATGGAGGGCGGGTGGTTTTCAAAATGCGGCTCTCGCTGGAGCGCCGCGCATACTTTTTCGAAAAATCTGAAAGAGTTTCACGGGTTGTGGGGGGGCTTTCAATATGTGCCTCTCGCCTTAGCGCCGCGCCTAAGACTTCCTCACCACTGATGACCCTGATGCTTAAACATTGACACCAATTTCACAAATGGAAGGAGGATCGTTGACAAAATGTGGCTCTCGCCTCAGCGCCGCGCGTACTCGTTTTAAACATGAGCAACAGAAGCTTCATGGATTGAAGGCGGGTGGTTTTCGAAATGCGGCTTTCGCCTTGGCCGCCGCGCACATTCAGTTTCCAAAAATTGCAAGGGCTTCACGGATTGAGGGCGGGTGATGTTCGCAATGTGGCTCCCGTCTCAGCGCCGCGCACATGAATGTTAAAACTCTGCAAGAGCCTCACAGCGTGAGGGCGGTTCCTTTCCAAAATGTGGCTCTCGCCTTAGCGCCACGCACACTCGTTTTGAACCTTTCCATGAGCTTCACAGATGGAGGGCGGATCGTTTTCACAATGTGGCTCTCGCCTTAGCCTCGCGCGCACTCGTTCTAAACATTCATAGAAGTTTCACTGATGAAGGGCGGATTCTTTTCACAATGTGTCTTTCGCGTTAGCGCTGCGCACGTTCGTTGCAGCACTTTACGAAGTTCACGGCTCTAACGTACCAGAAATTATGTTTTGGAACGATTCAAGATTGTCAGGGCGCAACGATTACGTTGATTCGCGGTGTTGAAATCCCAGCAATGGTGTTCTGGCACGGTTCAGGACCGCCAAGAAGTAACACTCAGGTTAACTCGTGGCGTTGAGGTCATGAGAATCATGTTCTGGCACGCTTGAAGTTGTTCATACGGATGTGCCCCAACGGGACAATTCCCTCAGTGGAAATGACCCCTTGTAGGGGCCTGTGAAGAGGGATCTTGGAGGGAAGGTGTATTTCAACATTGTTGACGAGGCTTGGGTTTACACTGGTCCTCCTCCTGATTCTCCTCGTGAGTATCGTTCTTCTCCTCCACTCCCTCCTCCTCGCTCCCCCGTCCGTTTCCTTATGAATAAATCTTCCCTGGCGCACCCTGCGGCGTCTCCGTAGGGCGGGCCGGGCGTTTCGCCCGAGACTCCCGCATCGCTTGTGATTCTTAAGCTGCGAACGTGCAAGAGCTTCACGGATGGAAGACGAGCCGTTTCCAACATGTGGCTCTCGCCGCACCGCCGCGCATATTCGTGCCGTTTTCAAAATATGGCTCTCGCCTCTGCGCCGCGCACACTCGGCGGTTCCTTTTCAAAATGTGGCTCTCGCCTCAGCGCAGCGGACATTCGTTTTCAGAGTTCGCAGCACATTCAAAGATTATCCGCCGACCCTTTGGGGTTCCTCGGCGCGTGAGATGCTTCCCCCTCCCCAAACCCCAGGGAGCCCAGTCCGGTCGATTTGGAGAGGGGATGGTCCCCCAAGGACTGCTCGAACGTATCACGGGGGGGACAGGGGGCCCCAAAACAGGCCAAGAGGGCACCAAGAGGCCCCCTGGACGGTCCAAGAGGGCCACGGACCGCCGAAAGATCGGTCGAAAATGCCAACGATGGCCTCCAGACGGCCCAAGCGGCCCCAAAGACACTCCAAGAAGCCCTCAAGAGGCGTCCCAAGAAAGCCTCAAAGAGCAAAACATTGTATACTTCCACTCGGCGAAACCTACATGTTTAGCACGTTCGCCTCTTCTGCGATAACAGCGCCCAAGACAGCTCAAGAAGCCTCCTGGGTCGCCCCAAGACGTACCAAGAGGCCCCGAAGAGGGCTCTGAGACAACCGAAGAGGGCCCCAAGACCGCTCGAAAAGCGGGAAAATACATGAAAGAAATGCCAAGAGGCACCAAGAGCCCCCTTACACAGTCCAAGAGGGCCATGAGCCGCCGAAAAATCAATCGAAAACACCCACGCTGGCCTCCAAACGGCCCAAACGGGCCCCAAGACGCCCCAAGAAGCCCTCAAGAGGCGTCACAGGACGGCCTCCAAAAAGTAACAGTCGCCCCAGTCCCAAAGGAAAACATGCATTTTCGGAACAGTCGCCTTTTGCATGTTCACAACGTCCAAGACAGCCCAAGAAGCCTCCTGTGTCGTCCCAGCACGGCCACGACCCAAGAGGCCCCCAAGAGGGCCCCCAGACAGCCCAAGAGGGCCCCAAGGCCGCTGAAGAAGCCCCCAGGACGACCCAGGGGGCTCCAGGACAACCCCAGAAGGGAGGCCAGAGGAGAACCCAAACGAACATTTCGAGCCGTCGACCCCAAACCGCTCCCCGGCTGCCCCAAGAAGCCCCCAACACGCTCCCAAGGAGCCCCGAGAGGCCCGAACAAAGCTCCCAAGAGGCCTCCAGGAGGCCACCTCGCGGTTCAAAACTGTTTCCCAAGCGCCCCCGAGACGCCCCCCACGAAACCCCGTCTGCCATCCGCGTGGCCTCAGACCCGCAGCCCAGGCACGGTGGCGGGATGTGCCGCAGGCCATTCGATCCGCCGCCCCCTGTTGATTCATCCCAGGGGTGCCTGGCGTGCTAGATGATTTCGGTTTTGGTTTTGGTTCTTTTCCAAAAGAACTCCCCCTGGGGCTCCGGCGCGTCCCGCCAGGGTCCCGGGAGGGAGCTCCAGGCCGCAAACGACCTCAACGTCCGCAAAAAATTCTCAAAGACGGCTCAAGATGGCCTCCAAGATGGCCACGTTGGCCCAAGATGGCCTCCAAGATGGTCCAAGATGGCCTCCCAGACGGCCCAAGAGAGTCCGAGATACCTCGAAGTTCGCTCAAGAAGCCTCCGAGACGGCCCAAGAGGCCTCCAAGAGGTCCTCCAGGAGGGCCCGAAGAGGCCAAATTCATTGATTTTCCATAGGCTTTTGAAGGATTTGGGCATTTGCTTCTTCTCGGTGACGGCTCAAGACGGCCCAAGAGGCCCCCAAGATCGCCCCAAGATCGCCCACGAGGCCTCCAAGATGGCCCCATGGCGGCCAAAGAGGCCCTCGGGACGGCCCCAAGAGGGCTCCAAGACGGCCAAGATAGCCTCCAAGACGCCCAAAATGGCCTCTAAGACGGCCCTGGAGCACCTCAAGAGGGCCCCAAGTCGGCCCAGAAAGGCCCCCCAAACGGCTTCCGACGGCGTCAGACAGGCCAGGAGCCCACCAAGTTGGCCGAAGTTGGCTCGAAGCTGGCCCAAGACGGCCCAAGAGGCCTCCAGGAGGGCCTCCAGGAAGGCCAAAAAAGACCAAAAACATGTGCTTCGTTTCGGCCTTCTGACGGCCCGATACGGCCCACGAGCCCCCAAAGATCGCACAAGAGGCCTCCAAGATGGCCCCAGAACGGCCCAAGAGGCCCCCAAGACGGCCCCATGAGGCCTCCAAGACGACCCAGGAGGCTTTTCAGACGCCCAAGATGG